CTATTACTATATAAAGATGTGTCTTACATTTTCTAATACACGGAGGCATCTATCAACTTTGCGTAATTTGTCTAATAATGGATCTGTCCATCCAGATTTCGTAATTTCCTGGGTGTTAATATGACGATGACAATCTCTGATCGTTTTTACAATATGTTCTAAGCCTCCTAATTCTCTAAGTTCCTCCTTAAACCATTCACCAGCACGTTTTGAAGTAAGACTAAGGAGTGTCTCCATAGCGAGTTGACCAACCTGGTTACAAATTTTACCATGTATATTTAATCATTATTAAATCAATTTACTTCCTGGTGTTCGTAAAATACTTACGGTGATATTATCAAGATTCAAATGTTTTGCGTGTCCTTGAGCTTGAATATCGGCGCACAGCTGGCGCACTTTTTCTTTATTTTTTAATAATTCTGCCCGGCTAAGGCCACAATCGTCAAGTGCATCTTTGTGACTGGCATCAGATTCTAATAAACTTAACATTAGCTCTAAACAATCGCGATCTAAATCCATAGCTAAACGATCTTGACTTAGTACGAACATTACAGTTGCTGTACATAAAGCAAGACTCTGCAAAACAAGTTCCATTAGCAATTGTTCTTCCTTTGTCCACATTATAAAAAAATTGATAAAGTTCATGCGTACTAATTCGTACGGAAATGATATGTTTTGTACCTGGTCTTTCGTTGCATCGTGAAGAGCTTTGAAAAATTTGGCAACTGTCCCATGAGCGCGTACGTGCATGCGGAACGCAGGTGCCATACACTTGCTTGCCAATCGTATAGCTGAAAGGCAACGAGTGGCGTTCGGATTGTTTTCCCTTAAAGTATCTAATATATATTCAACGTCATCATTAAACTCTTGAAATTCTCCACTCTCTTGGATCTGATGAGCTTTCTTTACATTTTTCACTACAGTGTAGAACTGCAATATAAATTGAATTATTTAGTATGAAATTTGTAATGCACCGAATGCATTGCCTATCGATTATACATACTCCTTTAACTTTCTTGCCGCAACGGATACTTGTTATGGCGTCAGGTTCGTCTTCGAATCCTGTATCTGCTTCGGGATACGTTACTACTCTCGTTAATTGAGAAGAATCGAATTCTTCTTCGTACGCCACTGGACCAGTTCCACCGGATCCTGAAGCAGTGATAGGGGTGCTATTTCCAGCGTTAGAAGTGTCCGTGGTGCTGGACTCTTTATCGCTATCACACCACTTGTGCTTATATAATGCTCTTCTCTTGTTGCCGTTCGTAGCACCCGTCGAACGACTTTTGAAAATGCTACCCTTTTTAGTAGCAGGTTTTTGAGTCGTCGTGCACGGAGTGTTCAATGGCTGGGATTCTGTGACGGTACTTGTTACGTGCAACGGTATATCGTTCTCTTGATTACCGTTCACACCTTCGCTATCGTCGCTCCCAGAGAACCAATCTTGATCGACCAAGGTTTTCGCTGTAGCATTATCATTATCGGCTGGACGAGTAGTTTGTTCCGTTTCCATTTCGGGATCGGGTTCAGGCTCTAGCTCCGGTTCGGGATCGTGTTCAGCCTCTGGCTCTGGTTCCGGTTCAACTTCTGGTTCTGGTTCTGGCACTGTACTTGAGCTCAAGCCTAGTCCTGGTTCTGGTTGTAGTTCCACCGCCGGCTGTTCTGATTCCATCTCTAGTTTCGCCTCAGGCTCGCTCTGCGAAGTAGATCCTGAAACTATTTCATTTTCTGGGATATCTATTGCACACCGTTGAACTTGTTCCGGGGCAACGACCTCTGCAGCGTTCGGTTCAGTCTCTGGAGCATTCGCTATTATTGGTCTCGTTTGCATTGGGTCAGAATCGCTTGATAGTATATCAATTAGTTCTTGGGTCGTTGTTGGCAGTGGTTGATCACGCCCAATCAGTGGTTCGATCGTCGGCTTACTAGAGTATGTTGAACCGCAGTCAGTCTTAACAATATCGTAATGAGATATCAATGTATTATTGGAATCGGTAACGGACTTCCTAAGAGTTAATGAAAGACCAGAACTATGGGAGTTGGGTGTTACTGGCGCCGTAGGTACGATAGAAGCCGCCGCCGCTGCTGTTGTTGTCGTCGTCGTTGCCGCTGTTGCTAAATCTAAATGCAGATTCTTCGCTCGGCTACGAGTAGTTCTACGCATCTCGGAATTTTCTAAGGGTATTGATATTGTAGAGATTATAGGTTCATGGGAACGAACTAATTTACTGTCAGACTTTAACGTGTCCACGTTGAAGTTCTTGCGTTCCACGTCTACTTTCGTGGGGCTCATAAGGGGCGTAGAGATTCTGTAGGTTTCCGATTCTGGCTGTTGACTGTTCTGCACATTTCCACATACCAATCTCGCCGTACCCTTGCATATTCTCAACACAATGGGAGGTTTCCCTTCGTCTCTTATCGGAGGATCTTCTAACACCTCTGCGATCTTCTTAGCTGGGGCACTTGTTACTTTCGTCAAAGATTGCTTCGCTGGTGGCGTAGTCGCTGGTGACAGTGCCGGCGGTGTTTGCGGAGAGGCTTTCGGAGTACGACCCCTACCATACTGTGATTCAGGTACTTGTCTATATATTGCAGCATCTTGATGAGATTCTTCTACCGGAGGTGGAACGTTTCTACTCTTAAAAAACTTCTTAGGTTTTACAACTGGTGGTGCAGCATCTGGTTTATTGTCAGGATCAGTTTCGAAGGAAAACGGATCTTTTCCAGAATTCACGCGAGCATTCTGATTTCCATAATCAAGTTTTATTCTTTTCCCACCGAAGGTATTATGAATATCATCTCTCCTTCCTGCAGATTTAATAATACAATTAGTAAGTCCATAATATAGAAGCGAGGCAGAGTATATGAAATGAAGCGAGCTATAATTTGTTAGAAGGCGTACCATTGATATTTGTGCTCCTGATAGATGTGAAGGATGTTATACCCCATTTTCCAACAGTTCCTGCTGATTTAGCAGCAGAAGGTCGATTGCTATTTTCTCTAAAAAGCTTATCGAATTGAATACTCCCAGGCGTCACGCTGCTGACCTTACGGCTGTAAGATTTCGTGTAACTACGCGATGTCATCCTGTATTCCTCAGTATTTTAAAAACATTCCACATCTCAACAGGCACGAATAATAATATCTTTCGTCATTTTCTTTTTGGCTTGAGCATGTAGGGAACAAGCATTTGAACTTCTGCACGCTCGCGGTGAAATGTTACGAGGGTGAGGGGCCTCGGCACATCGGAACGTTACTCTTCTCGGCGACCGTCGATTCGCATCAAGAAAATTAAAAGACAATATTCTCGAAACATATGAAGGAAACAAACGCCATGTTTCATTCGCTATTTACCCGATGCACGATTAAGTATACGAAACCGTAACTTCAAATTCGACTAATCTTCAGAAATATTATCCGTACGATGACTACTCTCAGTCGTTTACTCTCACTTAGCTTTAATTATTTTAATATCTCTATATCTGCATAAAGCTCAATTGGAAATTATTAGTCATAACATGTTCCTCGGCCATCTGTCGATGTTTTTCGTTCCAAGATTCAGATACATACCATACACAAAAAAACGAGTAATACAATACCAGTATACATGCCAGAGTACTCAAATAGGCTGAACTGTTATTCCTAGATTCTTTTCTTTCTATACCGCCAGACGTCGCTGCATTCAACATTGTGTAGAATTGACTAGGGAATCGTACAAAGTGCTGCAGAGCTCTAGTGTTGGGCAGCCCGTGGGAATTTTTGTAACTAGGTGTCTAAAAGACATGCGTTAATGACGTCACAGCTAGAGGTATGATAATATATTTGAAATTTAACTTTCGACAATTGAAACATGCCGAGTAGTGATGGGCACCAGGCACCATCAATTAAAAACTATCGATTTAGTCGATAGTAGCCAACGGTACTTTTAGGCCGGTATTCAGAGTCGTTGCTTATTCTTAAGATCGTCTTAAG